CATCATGCATCTTTAAACAACAAATTGGCAGAACCAAAAGCCAATGGATTTTAGGCGCCGAGGCGATGTTTCACCCCACCCAACCGCGGATGTGGCCAGGTGTTGGCGCGGAGTCTTGACTCGGCGCGGGTCTGGGTCTCCAGCAAAGGGGCCGAGAGGCAGAAGGAGACTCGGTGGCTACAATATCGCAGCTTCAGGCTTTTGATTGAACTTGAGTGGCACGCAAAGGCTGGAATGCGGGCGCTTAAAAATTTGCGCAACAGCTGAAAGCTTTGAGGTCTTTGCCCGCTTGGCTGTTGGGGAAACCACTTGGGCTGATTTGGCTATGTTTCTTGCCCAAAAAGATTTTAACCACCAGACACATGACTGTTCCCTACAATTGATCAAGCAGTTTAGATTGCTGGAGAGTTGGTCCCTTGACAAACGCAGGGCGCTTTGCTGGGCCTGGCGCGGCAGAGTGGCAGTGAGCTCAGCACCTGCCAGCTGCAGGCGCGATGGGATGCGAGTTTTGGAGCGTTGCGCATGTCAGGGGACCTGGTTTGGTGGTTTGGTGGTTCTGGGGTTTGAGGTTCTTGTGGGCCAATGGGACACCATCCCCGGCATACCTCCACCCAATCCAACCACCAATTTTTGGGCAAGCTGAGTATGTCTGGGAGTTCTCCTGTTGGGTAACAACATGTAACAGTCTGTCTTGGGTCTGGTTTTGTTGGCTGAGCTAGCAGGTGTTCAGTGCTGGGAGAGATTTTGTTTGCCGGATTGGTCTCCCTTCGACATATCTCCATATTTCCATATCTCCATATTTCGATATCCGCATATCCCCCCAAAAGTGCTGCATCGATTATTCCATTCCGAGCTTGGCCAGGAGTCGCAAAGGAAGTTGGAGGCTTGTGAGGCAGAGAAGGAGGCCCTGGAGACTGCGCTGGCGAGGCTGCGGGAGGAGAACCTTCAGCTCCAGAAGGTGGGGAGCCGGTTGCAGGCAGTCTTTCATCCCAGCTGGTTGGAAGGGAGCCATTCCGGAGCAATTCTCTTTCGAGGGAGCCTTGCAGAGCTACTGTGCCAGCTCTGCAAGAACATGGTAGCATCGTGAATTTCGCAGCCAGATGCTCTTCTGCAATTCGATTTTGAGGAAACTGTCCTGGGGTGCAGAGACCGAGGCGTTGGAGGCAAAGCGCACTGAGCAGCCAGGCGGCGCGGCTGAGTCAGGGCAGCCCTGGCAAATGGGGGCGCCTTGGCTGCATATGTCGTGGGGAGCTATGAGGCGAGGGCCCGCTGAGCTCTTCTCATGGCGCCATGGAGCACAAAGCACCACACGCGCAAATGGACTCTCAGCGGGAGGAAGCTGGCACTCGTAAATCGTGTTGGCTATTTTGGTAAAATCGGGCTTACCTGGTGCACCGCCGTATTCAAGAATGAAGACCATCCAAACGTCAGATGTCTGGACTGAGGTGGTTTGCGCACTTGCGGAAGAGCGGACTTATGCACAGGGCCTCTTTCTTTGCCCGCGTCTATTCTCCAGTTTCCAAAGTGCCTGTTTTTCCTCAGCGTTTGCACGCGCAGCGCCTCTATTCTTAAAAGCCACGAGCAAGCGATGCATTCCTTAGGAGAGCTAGCTCATTCAGTTTCTGAGCGGATGCGGGGTGGTGCAGAGACAAGACAACTAGCACGGGCGCCACACTGCTTCGGGTCGATCGAAAGAACTTGTGTTTTCTTAAACGTCTGGACTTCCTGCGAACTTTCGGGGGTCGACTTGCCAAACACTTGCAATTTTCTGTGTTTTATTCACTTCGCTCGCGCAACCCTCTGCGTGCTTTTCGGGGGTCGGCCTTCAAGCGTTTCTCAGCTTGCGCAGATATTGCAGCCTCGCTATTTGTTGCTTATTTACTTCGCTCGCGGAACCCTCCGCGGACTTTCGGGTGGTCAGCCTCAACAAATCAACTCAGTGCTTCTGTTTTCTTTTTGTGTGTGTTGTTCACTTTCGTGGTCTAGGGAGAGAGGAAGAGAGAGAGAGAGAAAGAGAGAGAGAGGGAGAGAGAGAGCCAGAAAGAGAAAGAGAAGCAGACAGATAAAATATAAACGAGGAAGGAGAAAGAGAAAGCAGGAGAGAGACAGACAGAGATAAAGAGAAGAGAAAAACGAAACATCATAAGGACAAAGATAAAGACAAAGAAGAGAAATATGAAGAGAAAGACAAAGAGACAGGGGCAGGGAAAGATAACAAGAAAGAGATGGAGAAAGAAGAAGATAAATGAGAACAGAACGTAGAGAAAGGAGACAGAGAAAACACGAAAGACACAAGATAAAGGAGCACGGAGACAAGACAAAAGAGAACAGAGAAAAGATAAGCGACAAAAGAGAGAAAGAGAAAGAGCAGGAGCAAAGCGAAAGCAAAGGAGAAAGAGAAATCGCGAGAGAAAAAGGGAACGAACGCGTGCTCCAAACTATAGTTTTATTATTTAAACTGTTCAACCTTCCGCCAAACTTTACTGGTTTTCGAACGTTGGGTGGGCTGGTTTTTCCCCAGCTGGAAGCTTTGGGCCTCTTTTTCCCCCAAGAAAGCTCCTGGAACCCGGGGGGATTTGGGACCTGGCCCAGGTCAGCGTGATGATGGAGGATATGGGCTCCATGGAGGCCGTCGAGGCTTTGCGGCGGCAGCTGTGCAAGGCGAGAGAGGGGTCACTCCAAGCGAAGAACGAAATTGGGTCGAATCGCAAAATAAGGGAAGCTACAGACAGGCTGGTTTGCTACAGAACGGGTGGTTTTGCTATAGGCAGTGTGGTTTTGCTGGAGTTTTCCCTTTGATCCAAGGTACCCCGAAAAGTAGGGGTGATTTCATATGGTTTCCTTTTGGCTCCCCTTGCCCAACCAGAAGGAGGCTGTTTCCTTCGTTGTTCGCTGCGTACGGTTTTGAGCAACCCAGTGACTGGCACCTCAAAAATTGGGTTGTTCCCACATGGCGCTGATTACACGCATGGTGGTTCAACCTCTTCGGCTAGGTTTGGAGTTTTGTAGGCAAGGAGCCCACTCGGATGGACGTCCTTCGAGGTGCTTCTGGCAGTTCCTTTGCCATTTGTCACCATTCTGCTAGGCCATCAGGGTAGTGTGGATCTGGTCCCATGATCCTGACCCGCGCGAGGAGCATGTGGTTTCCAAAGAGCAATGCTTCCCAAATAGCTTGACAGGCCTTGCCGGATCCTGCCGGCCTCATGCTCAAGAACACCTTGCGCTTGATGTGCGGGGAGTTGTACTCAGGGCCCAAGCGGGCCCTGTGGGAGCTGGTGCAGAATGCGGACGACTGCCAGTACGAGGGAATGCCCTGCCTCCACCTTGTCAAGTTCCCCAGTTACTTGTGGATCCTAGGCTCACTTTGAGTGGGGAATACTTTCGCGCCACCTCAGAGCCCATCCATGGCAAGGAAGCAGGTGTGCATGTCCTAGGTTGGTGTCATGCTGCAGCCCAGGATTGAGTACAACGAAGCGGGCTTCTCCTTACAAGATGTGCAGGCACGGCCAGCCCAAGTCGTTGGATGCAAGTTGGACGGGCGGGTCGGGCCAGTCCCAAGCGAAGGATTTGCATCACACGGCTTTGAAAGGGAAAGTGCCCAGCTGAGCGTGCAAAGCGAACCGCGTACAGAAATGAAGAAAACACACATGGGCGCGGCTCAACTAAATGTACCAACATTTCACCTTGGTAAATGGAACCAAAGACTCAAACCGCGTAACCCTAGCTCTTGAATTTTGAGCCACAGCCACATTGTTCGGTTTTATCTAGTTTTCCCCTCTAAAACTGGCCGACCCGTGGTTGGTTGCAACTCGGGACGAAAACTTTCCAGCTCTCCCTTTGCCTTGGACACCAGGCGCTGTGCAGCGTAGGGGCGTCCACCAAGGGCCCGCAGCAGACTGGGGAGAAAGGCGTGGGCTTCAAATCCGCCTTTGTGCTGTCTGCCCAGCCCCATGTCGTCTCCAACCCCTTCCAGCGCCTCGGAGAAAACAAGGAGGTTGAGAGAAGGTGTGAGGGAGGAACCCGCTTGGAAGAGCAAGCCCCTTGGCCAGAGATATGAACGACCGGACCTTGTTCACAAGCTTCGCTGATGCAAGAGGTACGTTGTTGTTTAGGGTCACATGTTGCAGGGCCAAGTCTGTAGAAAGCTTGCTCGCAGTTCCTGGTGTTTTGCCCTGAGAACTGCCCCGAGAATTGCCGAGGTTCTATTTCGATGAGAGCGCCGACTGCCCGTTGCCACAGGCCAGCTTTGTTTGGTCGGCAGGAAGCCGACCCAAGCGGAGGTCTGAATGCTAGTATGAGCCAGGGCCATGTTTTGAAGCGTTGTGGGCATTGGGGACTTGGCATGGGGTGCGGTATGCAAATCTTGGACGGGGAGCAGGCCGCATTCTCAGCCACAGCTTTTTTTTCTTATTATATTTGGGGGCAAACGCATGGGTCGCCATTTTTCCATGTGCTCAGTGGTTCACACGTCAAAGTGAGTTTCCTTTTGGCGGGGGATGTTTCAAGGGGAATCTAGGGACCTACCAGGGATTTCTTAGCCTAACGAACCCTGAAACTGTTTATCACGGCCTTTTTTTAGGCGCCGCCGCCAAAAGAACAAGTTTGGGGCTGTACAAGAGAATGCTGGCCCCCCCAGCACAAGGCTCCATCCCACTGGCCGAGGCCAATGTCCGCCTTGCCAGGTCACGCCCCAGCCCATCCTGGGAGCGCTTCCGCGGCCAGTGCCGGGCTCGGGAACAGCGGTCTACTTGCCGCCCCCTGACCGCACAAGGGCACAGGGCGTGTCCGAAATTTTCCAGCTCGTCGAGAATTTTGCTCGGTGATTTCGAAGGACAAGGCCATGACTAGTGATATTTTCTGTGGTTCGCGAACTTGACTGAAGGGGTTTCTGAGCTGGTAATATGTGAGGATGATGCTGCACGTTCCTGTGGCGCTAGTGTATTGCGTGAGGGAAGGCACACGTGAGGGATTGCAGAGCAAATGCCGGAGAGGACATCCAAGCTCGACTGGCAAACGACTACGATGCCTCAACTCTGGTCTGTTTGAATGCAAGTGTTTTTGGGTAGAGCATCTTTGATATGAAGGACACCATGCACATGTTTGCTTTTCATGCCCGATTGATTGCCGGGTTCGTGAGTAGCGCGGCCCGAGGCTGCGCAGGGCGTTCCCCGACCTGCTAGAGGAGATCGTGCCTTGGTCAGGTGGGAGCTCCGCTGCTAAACTGTGACGCTCAGAATGGTGCTCCATCTGCCAGAGGAGCGGTGGACAGAATCTGTTTGGGCGGTTGTCGGGGTCAATCCGAGGTTTGGCAGGGTCTCATTTCAGCTGATCTACATTTTGGCCTGGGTCCTGCAGTGCAAAGTGCCCGGAGGAGAAATGATGCTACACACACACACACCCGCACAGCTATGCATAAAAACTTCCATAGAACTAATTTGTGCCTCTCTCTCTCTCTCTGTCTCCACGCGTGCGCTCTCTTTCTCTCTCTCTCTCTCTCTCTCTCTCTCTCTCTCTCTCTGTCTCTCTCTCTCTCTCTCTCTCTCTCTTTCTCTCTCTTTCTCTCTCTTTCTCTCTCTTTCTCTCTCTCTCTCTCTCACTGTTTATGCACATCTCCATATTTGTGCACCTCTATGGGGCAATCTGCCTTCCGAATATATAGAACAAAGGAGGAGAGGCACTGCTGATCCAGACGCTCTCATTCACGTCCTGCTCAGTCGCCATGTCGCTTTTTCCTGAAGCTTTCCTTTCGAAACCTATGAGGTATCTGCAGCTTGGTGACCCGCCCAGCAAGCTCCCTGAAATGGACTCCAACTTGTGAGAGTTATTTGTTTCGGGTTCGGGGCTGGCAGCTGCTCCGATCGGTTCCGAGGTGCCGGAGGCCCTGCTCTTCCTCCGGCGCCTCCAGCGCCTGCAGCTCCTGGAAAGCGACGAACCCAGCGGAGCTTCGGCGCGGGAGTGGAGCTTCCAGCGGAAGGACGAGGCTGGCGTCTGCGTGGTGGAGGATGGGAAGGCCCAGCATCAGTTCGTGGTGGTGGCTCGGCAGAAGTGACGCATGAAATGTTGCTTTACGAGCCCCGCGCAGAGCTATTTTATTGCTTGCCGGCTTTCGTTGAAGAGATCTTCCTTGGATGTGTTTCTTTTGTTCGGTAACGTTCCTTTCTGTTTGTTGCCTTTTTGTTTCTCAATTCTTCTGTTGGCCGGCAGGTCCTGTCAGGTCCTTTGGTCAGTGCCTTTCTGTGGTGTTGCAAGCAGGTTTGGAGACAGCAGCCAGAAACCAACAGAACACCATAGTCTGTTCCATTTTGAGACTTTGAGACCACCTGCTTTCTCCTGCTGGAGTCTCGCTCTGATGCCCCGCCTTGCAGGTTCGGAAAGACGAGCTAGCCGTGGCATTCCCTCTTGACCGGGTGCCGGCGGCGGCTCTGGTTTGCGCCACCCTGCCGTTGCAGCAGCTTCCGCAGCTGCACACGCGCCACGGCAAGGGAGAAGCAGCGGGGTTTGGCCAGGCTCTTTGGCAAGCTGAAACTTCTGGCGTTTCTAGGTGTTTCTAGCTGTACCTGCTCATTCTTGCCAGGGATTAGGAAATGGGGATCAACGTCACCGGGACTTGGTTTCTCTTTGGCTGACCTCTATTGACGGCTCTCCGCGGGCCAGCAAGCTTAACTTTGCCAACCGTGAGCCAGCCCAGACTTGACCACCATTTGCAGAGTTGCCCCAAGTTAGCTGACTTGCAGGACCAACGCAGCGAGACCAAATTGCCGGGCAACCGTTGACTGGGGGCCCCCGCTCAAGCTATGTCCCAACAGGTGCGCAAATCCAAAGGTACCTGCAAGATGCTTCCAAAGGCACGGGTTTGTTCTGAATGGGGTCAAACGACCCTAGGAACTTCGGAAGACTCATTCACAAATGTCGGCCGGCCCATAGCTGTCAAGCCCGACGAGGCAAGCAGATCAAGAACCCTCTTACTCCCCTTGCCGGTCCCCGAAGAGAAGACTCCTTTACCACGGTTGACTGTGGCCGGTGGCAATCTGCTGGTTGGGTTTTTGTGTAGGCCCAAGCGTGTGGGCCCCCAGCCACTGGAGGCCGATGGATGCGCCCTTCGACCTCACAGCGAGCCGGGAGGCCCTGCAGGAGAGCCCCAGGAGAGCACGGTGGAGGGGATTGAAAGCCCAAAGGGCAGGATCTGATCCCAAAGGAGCGATGAATAAAATCCACCTGCGTCCATGTACTTGTTGATTGAGCTAAGTGCATCGTTGCGGTTGCTCAGGTACCAGGCTGAAGGTGCGATGGGAGTTTGCAGTTTGAAGGGGGTGAAGGACTCAGGCTGGATGGCATCACAGTTCATTCTGCCCAGGAGGTGAGCAATCTGAGGGCCAGAGGGGCGAGCAGAGCGAACAGGTTCTCCCTCCAAAGCAGAGTGCAAGTCGCACAACCCAAAACACGCACAAAAGGTGCCAGGGATTGCTTTTGGGGAAGTTTTTCAATATCCAACTGCTTGACTTCAAAAGGGCAGTCGCGCGAACCACTTGTTGTGCTTTGCTTTGCGCGTGGCGTATTTGGGAAGGCAAAGCTCTGAAGGGTCTGTTCGAAAAGGTCAGCCGTGATTCCATGACGGAGTTTCTCTCACACCGACGAATGGGGTGCAAGACAGTGTTCAGCGGGCTGGTGGGGACAACCACCGCTCCCGCCCACCCTCTCCCCCTCCAAAGTGCTTTTGCTCAACGGCTTCTAGACAACCTTTAGCTTCTATGACACTTGGTTCCTGAGGCCGGTATTTTGCTTCAAGCTCTCATTAGAAGCCCCGCCAAGTAGGAACCTGGAGCTCCGGGATGCGCTCGCGGAGTTGTGGCTGCCGCCCGGCGAAGCTGAAGCGGCCGCAGGAGAAGAGGTTGGGGGGCTGGCGCTTCTACAGATTTAGGACAGCAGGGCAGTGGCACATTTTGTTTGAGGGAAGAGGGCCCTGCCATATGCATGGCAGGAAGTAGGCTGAGGGTATCCCTGCCTATTGTGGAGGCCTCCTTCGCGGCTTTGGGAGGCTCCCGAACCCGAGGCAGGCAGTCCAGACGGACGACCGGCTCGCTCCACGCGCCTTCCTCCTGCAGCCGGGCCTGGAGCGCCTCGCACGCAGTCTCGGATGCTCAACTAATCAAACGAGGGGTGAGGCTTGGCATAGGAGGGTCGGGATGCTGAGGGGTCGTGCAGTGGGCAAACTATTTGTGTGTGCTGCTTCCTGAGGTGTGCAAAAGAGATTGTGAGGGTGGGGCAGAAGGCAGTTTCTCAGCATAACCGTGCATATGTCAGATACGTAGCACTGTTGCTGCTGTCTCGCTTGAAGCGCCATCCATGATAATCGCTATTGAATTAAATTAGTGTTTTTGCTTTTTGTATTTCAGCGGTTTTCCTGGGCTTTTCTGCGCTCAAGTTTTCCTGAGGCCCTCGTAGCAAAGATCGCTCTTGCGGGCTTGAATGCTCGTGAGCTCTCGCTAATGCTCTTGGGGCGCCAGCGAGCTCCCAGCTTCAAGTTCGAGCGCGTGCTGCTCAGACAGCCTTGCGTTGAATTCGCGCTCTCCGTTTCCGGGTTTCCGGCTGGCAGTCCCGGTCTTCCTGTCTCGGGCGGGCTTTCACGGGGAGTCGCTCTGAGGCTCGGCGGCTTCTGGGCGCCCTTTGCGCTGCAGGTGCGGCGGGGCTTGCAGGAGGCGCCCCTCATCCCCACAGCCAAGGGCAAGATGTCGCTGAGATCCTGCCGCAACCCGAACCCCGGCCGCTGGAGGGGGGCGAGGCCACGGGTGAGCCTCCGTTTAGACGGGCCTTTTGGCCTCCTTTTTAGGCTTTAACTGTTAAAAACAATTGCGTGGGCCCGGCCATGTCTGATCCATTTCATCCCTCCTTCAGGAAAGCTAGCTTTCACTTACAGGCCCTGTGGAAATTAGCAGGTTTCGTCATCCAGTCATTGGGGGGTAGCAAAAATCACAACTGTCTGACTTGGCAACCGTGCCCCCAGCAGTATCCGCAAATCTCTTTGCTGCGGGTTCCTTTTCGGATTGCTCAAAAGGGAAAAGCACAAGGACACCGACCCCATCAGATCAGAACAGAGGCCAAACCCAGAACTTTGGGTTGTACTTGTGAATGGCAGACTGCCCTGGGTGCATGTTTTCACTGCGCCTTGTGTCAAAGCGGCTGCGTCGTGTTTGCAACCTTCTATGTACTGTTCCAAAAAACGGGCGATCCATGCCCATGTGTTTGTTGCCCTTTCATCTGCACTCCTCCTTGTTGCGTGGGGAGTGCCAAGCAACAACCAAAAAGCCAGCGGTCATTGCCGCTTCCTCCGCTCAAGCCGCTCATGCGAGTCCCCGTGGCCACATGCCCTCGTTCTGGACCCGCTCATAGTTCTCCGTTGTCACATGCCCCTGACAAAACCTGCACGGTGTCAGCGGAACCTGTGGCTCTCGTCCGATTCCGGGGCATCGGTGATTGGCATGCAAGAAACCATCCTGCCCTCGCCACGATCTCGCTCCTCGACGCCCCTTCTCCAAGCCAGCAGTTCGGACAGGGCAGCACCGCCCGTAAGCCCCTGGCTGTGGCATTCCTCAGCCCGAAGCAATTGCGACGCCAATGCACCTTATCTCCAATAGCCGATGATGTGGTAGATTTCCGTTGCCTCCGGTTCCGGTTGCAGCTCTCTCCATCGTAACTGCTCCATCACCATGAGCTCCTCGCGCCATCTGGCATTCAGGCGCTCATCGACCTCGTCCGGCTCAGCCGGCCTTGCTGCAGCGGGCTCCTCACCGACTTGCCCTTCTGGCTGACGTTCACCACCTCCACGTCGCCTTCTCAATGTTCTTGCCGTTGACGGATCCCCGCTGGTAGAGCTCGAAGACCTGGCCACCGAAGTGCTCGATGCTCTTGGCACGTCGATCACCTCCTCATCGTCATCAGTTTGGGTGCCCTGCTCCGCGCTCATCACTCTGAGTTGCCGTATCTTTCCGCAGAAAGCCGACGCCACTTCACTCATCAAGCGATACACCACGATCGCAACCACTGCGATCAGCAGCACCACCACCGAAAGATCCATTCTTTCCTCCTCCTGTTGTTGACCTTCTCCTTGGGCCCTGCATCCGGCCACCATAATGAGGATCACCAGCAACTTGATCCACTTCTCCTTGCTACCTTGCACCACTGTCTTGTTCAATCTGACAGCTTCGCTCTCTTCTCGCATAGCCTTGAGGTCCCAGAGGCCACACAACTCCTTGATCCTCGCCGGGCCCAAGGGCTTGGTGCCAAGGTCTGCCAACATCTGCTGTCCCGGGCAATGGCGTATCTCCCAATCTCCGGCCCTAATCCTCCACCTCAAATGGAACGACCGAAGACGGAGATGTCTCGTCCTCCATGAACCCGTGACATCCGTTGCTATCGCCACCGCTGCCGCGTTGTCCGACAGCAGCATTTTCTTGAAGTTATCCATCACCTTCCCCGAGGATCACACCGTCAATTGCTTCGATCAGCTCGCTCTCGGCTGTTGACAGTGCTGGAAACGCCTGTTTCCCGGCTTTCCACGCGATGACCGTACCATTCCACGCCACCAAGGAACATCCTTGACTCCTTTCTCCCAATGGTGCGAACGACGCATCTGCGTAGGCCTGCAATCCAGCTGCTCCATGTCCAGACCAATGTCGTCCAGCATCCCCGGACACCCACAGTCCCCAGTCCTTCGTTTCCTTCAGGTAACCCAGGACATAGCCCGCAGCCTTGATCGTCCACTTGGGATTCTTGGACGTCATGCTGCACATGCGGCTCATGCTGTAGAGGAGGTCTGGCCGTGTTCTCGTCATCAGCCACAAAATCTCCCCCGTCACCTTCTGAGCCTTCGTGAGGTCCATGGCCGTGAAGTTGCCCGGGTCCTGATCCGTCTGCCAATTCCTTGGACATTGGCGTCTTGGATCTCACCAGCTCATCCTTATGTCTTTTCAGCAGCTCCTCCACGTAGTCGCTCTGATGCAGGAAGATGCCGCCCTCCTTCTTCATCAGATTCATTCCCAAAAACCGGATTTGGCGATCCTCCGTCAGGACGTCTGGCTTACTCGTCTCCCATCTTTCTGAGATCACGGCCTCAAACCTTTCTCGCACCGACTCCTCCGTTGCCGTGAGGACGTCGTCCACGTATATGGACACCAAACCGGCCAACACCTCCGTTCCATCACGAACCTCCAAGATCCGCCACAGATTCTGCTCCGCAGCGCACTGCTCCAGTTTGTAGTAGGCGCCGTTCACCTCCCAAGTCAGCTTCGCAAGCTCGGCATCCCGGTGGTCCGACCATCTCCTCGGGCTCTGCCGAAGCCCATACATGGCCTTGTCGATCAGCCACAGCTCACCCGGCTCCGCGTAGCCCAATCTGACCATGATAGTTGGCGGTCTCATCGCCACCAAATTCTCCGGCTCCCTCTCCTCGTGCAGATCCGCATTGAGGAACGCAGACTTGATGTCCAGCGCCGACATTGTCCATTTCCTTTCCATGGCCACCTTGACCTGCAGGCGGATTGCCGTTATGTCCGTTCCCCCCGCAAAGGTGTCACCTTCCGCCTCCGTGTCCCGCTCCACATGGTTCCCACAGACCACCAATCTGGTCTTCCGTCTCGAACTCCCGGCTTTCACACTGAAGATTGCCTTGGCAGGTACCACTGACAGTTTGCTGCCTTTTTCCTTGATCAGCTTCTCGGCCTCTCTGGGTGGCACTCTCCGAAGCGCCTGCTTCTCCGTCATCAGCGAATCCAGCTCGGTCTTGATCGAGGCCGCCCAACCTTCCTTGTCCGAGATCACCTCGTTCGGGGACACCATCTTTGTGTGCAGTATCTTCTCCGCCTCCGTCTGATCCGGAACCGTCTGCTTCAGGCTCTCCTCCTCCTCACGCAGTTTCCGCACCATCCGAAAGGTCATCTCTGCCGTTTCCTTCTCATCTTCCAACATCCTCTCTTCTTCTTCCACAATGGTGTGGCGAAGCAGCCGAATCCTTTCCGCCACCTTGTCACCTCCACCATCGTCCATTCGAGCTGGGTCGCTCGTCTTCACCCTCATTCTCCTTCTCACACGAAGGGCCTCGTCAAAGAGAGCATCCCCTTCCCGGTTCTCCTCTTCTTCATCCACATCTGCTCCGAGTGCGTCCGGAACCTCCCCTTCTCGCAATCCGGAGAGCACCTTCGACACCGCAACCACCTTCTGGTCTGCGTTCAACAGCACCGCATGTCCATGCGTGATGTCGTAGAGCGGCGCGAGATATTTGCCCCTCTGGTTCTTGGCCTCGAAGGATTTCTGCTTCCAAGCCCTCTTAGGGACCACCACGTCATTACCTTGTAAAAAGCGATAAGCGATTGCCGGCATCTTGTGATTTCATTACCTTTTTCATTATTTTTCTACTAGTTTTTCCTATTTTTCGCTTTTTTAGTTTTTTTTCTGTTTCATTTTTTTTCTAAAAGCGATTTCTTATTTTTTTCTACAAGTATACTAATATTTTTTCCGCGCCAATTTATTCTGTAGAAAAATTAAATAATTTCATAATATAGAAAAATTAAATAATTTCATAATGTAGAAAAAATAAATAATTTCATATATTTTACTACAATTTTAATCAATAAATTTTACTTTATATTTCTACTTCTTTACTACATACATTTTTATAATTATAAATTCATAATTTTATATTTATATTTTTCTACAAGTATACTAATATTTTTTCCGCGCCAATTTATTCTGTAGAAAAATTAAATAATTTCATAATTTAGAAAAATTAAATAATTTCATAATTTAGAAAAATTAAATAATTTCATATATTTTACTACAATTTTTAATCAATAAATTTTACTTTATATTTCTACTTCTTTACTACATACATTTTTATAATTATAAATTCATAATTTTATATTTATATTTTTCTACAAGTATACTAATATTTTTTTCCGCGCCAATTTATTCTGTAGAAAAATTAAATAATTTCATAATTTAGAAAAATTAAATAATTTCATAATTTAGAAAAATTAAATAATTTCATAATTTAGAAAAATTAAATAATTTCATAATTTAGAAAAATTAAATAATTTCATTATTTAGAAAAATTAAATAATTTCATAATTTAGAAAAAATAAATAATTTCATAATTTCTTCATTTTATCATTATTTTATTAATTTATCATTATTTTATTAATTTATCATTATTTTATTAATTTATCATTATTTTATTAATTTATCATTATTTTATTAATTTATCATTATTTTATTAATTTATAATATCTCATTCATTTAATTAGTGTATAGTTGAGTGTATGTAAGGGCTGGGATAGGTGTAATATTTTTCATAAAGACTTTCTTAAAATTTATATCTCAAATTTTCATATAATTGTATTTCAACTATACACTCTATGCACTCTATGCACTCTATTAACCTTGTAGAATATATATTTTAAATAAGTGTAATAAATATAATATTAGTATATATATATATATATCTACCTTATCTATTATTTTAGGAGTGTATAGTTGAGTGTATAGATATAAAAACCGTGTATAGATTATACTAAATGAAAAAGGTAAAAGTGTATATTATATTTTCATACAAGTTTATAATAGTTAAATTATAAAAATGTATTATTAATAATGAATAAGGTTAAAGTGTTATAGTGTATAGTATGAATACCTATTTAAATTCATTATCTTCTTGATTTTCTACAAACTCTATTTTATATTTTTCAGTTAGGTATGTTTTTA